GGGGCACCTTGTTCCAGGATGCCTGCCCTGGGCCTCTTCAACCAACCTGCTCCTCTGCTGATCTGCTGAAAGAAGCTAGCCGATCATCTGATTCTAAGTGAAGGGTACCTACCAACCAATCTAAAGGTACCTAAAGGTACTAAGGCTGCATTACTATTACTATTACGGTAGTTTTCTCACCATTCCTATCACCCATCTCCTCCCACTAGGACTACATGACTGTAACTTTGTTGCTTGTATCCTTACGATTTATATTGATATTGTTTCATTAAGTGTTGTACCTTATGATTCTTGATGAATGTATCTTGTCCTTTTATGTACACGGACAGCATATGCACCAAAGACAAATTCCTTGTGTGTCCAATTACACTTGGCCAATAAAAAATTCTATTCTATTCTATTCTATTCTATTCTATTCTATTCTATTCTATTCTATCCTATCCTATCCTATCCTATTCTATTCTATTCTATCTCTACCCTACCCTACCCTACCCTACCTTCTTCAAACCGGAAGGGGGAGATATGACATCACTGTGTCCTTCCTTTTCGTCTGAAAGAAAACAAAGCATGGCTGGCCTCTGTCTGCCATTGTTTTTTTAAAACATTATCTTTTTCTCTGGAAGAAGGAATCTGTGATGAGGGTCCAAAGGAATTTGAAGTTTGACCTGAACTTTCTTTCGACTTCCACAAGGCATACACTTGACTCCTGTTAGTTATGAGTCTACCTGTGCATGCTTTTCTTGACAAAAATGCAGCAGTGTTTCATTACTACCTTCTCCTGGATGAGATATGGATTCAAACCATTGGAGTGGGTTGATCAGCTGGAGAATTAACCTCTTTTAGTCTCAGTGCAACCTTAATCCAACACTTGTCACTGCTTGAACAAGTCTAGATTCCTAGTCTAGCCCACAGCTCTGTTTCCCCACCCCCCCTTATGGTCTTCTATTCAAGTATTGACCCAAATTTGAATTTAAATCTTACTGTTATGAATGGCTTCCTAGTCTCCAGAGTCACTTTAGCCACCACTGCTATTCTTTGCAGCCAACTGGGTTGCAATCTTTATTTTTCTGTCCTTTCCAGATGTAGTATTGGGCTAACATGCAAGCCGAACACTAAGTAAATGCTGAAATCATTCAACAGAACTGTGACTCTATGGGGAATGTCTGCAGGGTATAAAAACATTTTTCTTTGGTTAGAAAATATTCCATAATTGCTTCTTGGACGCTCTGACTGTATATTTTACGTCTGGCTTCAAAGCAGCAAAAGTTCACCCATTAACTTTCTTCTTAATGTTACTAGTTTCAACAGAACCCTAGATGAAGTCTGGAACGCATTTGCAATTGATGTAACACCCAGTCCAGCAGTGATTGTCAATACAAAATTCAATGCATATGTACTCAAAGGCTCCCTTTTCTTTCAAGGGCTTTGCAAATCCCCTGGGCCTTTTACCCTGGCTGCCCTTTGGAGATTTCCCCCCCCCAACATGCTAGACCCAAATAGAGTGGGTTAGCTGAACCTAAGCTAAGAAAGACCAGCTCTTGTTAGTACTTGCATGCACAAATCCAAAGGAAAACTGATAGATCAGAAAAATCAAACATAAATCTTGAAACAAAGGGGTGGAAAATCAAGGAAAAGGTGTGGACGTATCTATGAAAACATCACAGACTTCCGTTTAGGCCAATCTGGTTGAAAGAATACAGGCCAACCTCTCACCCCACCCTCACCCCCACAAACCCCCCCAATGTGGCTGTGCTTTCAAAGATATGTGACAAACAGAAATCCAACATGCTTCCTATCAACTAAATTTCTATCTGATGGACTGTTGTAAGGGGCCTAAGAGGATTCTCTAATTGAAACCCAGTCTCACTACCAAAGGAACCTGGGGCAGATTCATGGATTATGCAGAAACATGGGTTGTTTCTTTTTAGTTTAATGTGGTGCTTAAATCCAGCCATTGTTGCATCACACTTGTGCCAGAAGCACAGAGGTGCTCCCAGGTTGAAAGGATTAGCCAGTGACATCACCGTTACCCAGGGAATGCCCAGTTGGGGGCTCCTTTCATGTCCCCAGTATGAAAGCCGGAGCAAGGGACGGGAGCTCACCCGCCTTATGGCAGCACTCAAGATGTCAAATACAGGCTCGCTTAACCTCCAACCCTGCGTCCTAAGTACGCAAGCCACCATGCTCCTCTCCAGCCATTGTGGCTTGTAAACTATGGTTTATAATTCAGAATATGCAATCACAGCAAATTGATTCTTTCAGCAAACCAAGACAGAGCAAGCCATGGGTTAATATACTATGTGAATGCAAAGTTGGAATTAACCTTGCATTTCTGAGTTTCTCTAGATATGTGGGGCTCATTTCCATTAAGTAAGGGAAGGCTGCAGTTTTACTGAGCAACCTTTTACTTTACTAGCACAAATCCAGGTAAGCAGCACGCAACTGCATCTTGATTTCTGTTACTTGTAGGGGTTGAACTTTTTCAAACTCAGTAAACTTCATGTGTGAGCAGACAAGCTCCGATTATGTTGATTATTGCTAGGGTTACCAGATAGCTAAGGAGAAATGGAAAAGAAGGCCAAATGAAGGCAGAGGGGCAGGAAGAGACACTAGCTCTTTCTTGGTTTCTACAACAAAAATTACAATGAAAAGCTGCAAAAAAAAAAAAAAGTACTATATAAAATTACCTTTTCCAGCATCAGAAAGACTGATTTTTAATCACAATATTTTTTCCAACATATCTTTATTTTCAAGAACATATGCTAGCAATAATACAGAATTGACAACACACTCGCCCAATTTCACTATAGAAATGATGAGCCATTGATCTACAGATTACAGGAACCATAGATTTGAAGTAGATTGAGATCAATTGCTGGGATCAAGAAATAAATATAGATAATCCTCACTGACTGACCGCAATTGGGACTAGCAACTCTGTTGCAACACAATGAAGTTGTAAAGTGAAACGTCACATAGCCGTGTGCTTGAATTTGCTAGTTGAAAGCCAGCATGAATTTTGCAAATGGCAATCATATGACTGTGGAACACTGCAACCATGTTAAATGCACGCTGGTTGCCAAGCATCTGCATCATGATTATGTGACCACAGGGATACTCCAAGGGTGGTACGTGCAAGCACCAGTCTCCTTTCCCAGTGCCATCATAACTTTAAATGGTTACTGAATGAGTGGTCTGTAAGCAAGAACTACCTGGAATATAAATTTAGGCAGTCGAGTCTGTCGACAGACAAGGAAAAGAAAGAAGCAGACAATTTGCAAGGTTGGTTCACATACAAGGTACATGAAAGTTTGAATGACTACTGTTGTGAAAACAATCCAATTTTTTTAAAGAAAACCATTTAAAAAGCTGGACAATATTTGATTTTAAGATTATGCCTGCTAGACAGAGGACAAAAATGAGCACACACCACTCTTTTGGTGGTCATGTAATATTATGTCATGCAACATAACATAATCACAACAATTGCTCTTCTTTCATTCTCAGCGCATTCTGGCTTCTTCTCATTAGTCATCTCTAATGTTTGGTTTCCATAACATTTCCATAAACCATAATTATGCTTTTTTTGAGGGAGGTTTCCTAAAAAAAAACCCCAACTTTCTTTGAATTTGGCTGGCTAACTGCATGAGTCCAGCTGCTGTGGTTTAATATATGACTCAGTTCAGAGTGTGAACCCAAACGCCAAGCCTTGATTAAGCAACCCATGACTTAGCAAGATATCCAACCAAGGTCTTCCATTATAACTCATCAAAATGGCTGTGTGCCTATCCCAAGGGTGCTTTTTCGGGAGGCAACTGGGCTTTCTTGTTTTTTGTTTTGAAGACATTCTGCTTCTCATCCAAGAAGCTTCTTCAGCGCTGACAGGACAGTGAGGAATGGAAGAATTTATATTCCTTGCAGACAGCTGGTCATTTGCATCCTTTTAGAGGGTTGTTGAAGCACTTGGGGGTTTATCTGTGTCCTCAGGGTTACCTGAGTAGTGTTCCTGGTTCCTGTAGTCTCAATTTTTCCTCTGGAAAAATATTATGTTCCTGTTTCATCCCTTGACAGTCTGGATCCTATGAAACTGCAGAAGGATTTACTTCCAGGAATCCATGCTGATCTTCCCACTCATCTTTTCCCATTTCGTTCCCAACATTCATCCAGCTACTACTTAACCAATTCAGTTGCATAAATTAATCCATGGGGTTGGACCCAGAAGCAAATCAATTCGATTTTAATCGAGGGTTTAATCGAGGGTCTTCCCGTTTACAGCATGTTATCAGTCATAATTATTTCTTGCTTTATATTAGGTAAAAATTCCCCTCGCACATATGTGCTAGTCGTTCCCGACTCTAGGGGGCACTGCTCTCCGTTTCAAAGCTGAAGAGCCAGCGCTGTCGGAAGACGTCTCCGTGGTCATGTGGCCGGCATGACTAAACGCCAAAGGCGCACGGAACACTGTTACCTTCCCACCAAAGGTGCTCCCTATTTTTCTACTTGCATTTTTTTACGTACTTCCGAACTGCTAGGTTGGCAGAAGCTGGGACAAGTAACGGGAGCTCACCCCATTACGCGGCACTAGGGATTCGAACCGCTAAACTGATGACCTTTTGATTGACAAGCTCAACGTCTTAGCCACTGAGCCACCGCGTCCCATATATTACTTTTTAATTACTTATTATATTACTTTTTAGAAAATAACCACCCAAACAAAATTTCAATAGTTTTTTTAAAATTACTGGTCCTGAGAAAGGTGTTTTGTATTTTAAAGTATGCATACTACTGACATTTGCAGCCAGAACCAAAGGCGATCACACCGCCCTCCCAAAACCCGCGTATTGCCCTGAGACGGGATTCGTCTTGCAATCACGTTCCTCGTGCTCATTCCCACCGCGCTTCTTCTACCCCGCACATGGTGGAAAGCCGTCGCATCGAACCGGAAGCAAAGGTGCCCGTCGGGCAGTTCCCGTCACTCTCGGTTCCTTAACTCGATTTGGCGGCGGCGGTTTAATTTCCTAGTTGCTCAAGATGGCGGCGGCCGCCTTTTCAAGGCGCTGCTGCAGCCGCTGGAGAAAAGAGAAGATAACTCCGCTGCTGGTGATGCTGTGGGGAACTGCCGGCCTGGCGTCCCTCCTTACGGTTGCGGCTTCCCTGAAGCCGGAGCCGGAGGCGGTGGGGAGCCACGTGGTGGAGCTGAGCGGGTCCAACTGGAGCCTCCTGCTGCAGGGCCAGTGGATGGTGGAATTGTGAGTAAGCCAAAGGGCGCGCGCAAACTTGGAAAGGGAATGCAATGCAGGCAGAAGAGCCCTGCCAGCCTTCTCTCTCTCTCTCTTAGAGCGCCAGTGGCAGGATGGACTACAGCCACCATCATCCTCAGCCAGTTTGCCTAACACGTTGCAAGGCAAGGCAGTGTAGAGGGCTCCGGCTGCAAATCCGGATAGCCTGGCTTGACACTTATTTGGGGGGCATTTACTTCGGTCCGCAAACGTGGGGGAACCCTTTCTAGCGTGATAGGCGTTTCCCTGCGCTTAAGGCAGATGCAGTTCATAAACCTAGTTCGTCCGTGTTTAATTTTGGGGAGTTGGCTTTTTATTAATGCAAGTAAATAATTAAGGCGATATGGGTTTTTTTGTTTGTTTTACAGAGCTTTTATGGTTTAAGTCTTTTCGGATGGGCTTTAATTAAATCCAATTTTCCCCAAACCAGTGCCTGCTCAATATATTAGTATTAATATATACTCAATAAATCAGGTTAAAGAATTCCCCTTTTCGGGCCATACTGTTGGGTTGTTCAGTCCTAGTTTATTGAAAGAACTTGAGTGTTCTTGCAATAATTATGCTACATTGCAAGGTATTTGGTATTTGATGCTAAACAACACCTGCTGCAACATGCTAAACTTTGCTAATGAATTGCTACATATATGTAAAATGCTGTGCCCAAACAAGCAATATTATGGCATAATGTAATGGCCTAGTTCTCAAAATGCTTGAAGGTAATGGCTGAATTTGCACAAGGAACTGAACTCAAAACCAATTTATTGATTGTCTAGTGTGTTGCATGAATGTATGTACTATCATAGATATGCTTAGGAAGGACATAGTGAAAAACAACAACAACATGGAGTTCAGGATAAGAGGTTAGCTCTACAGTCCATGTATAGCTGGTTAGTCACTTCTGATAAGGATGACCAAATTTTGCACATGAAGTAGGTTAGACATGCAGTTGTGGCAGTCCACAAATTGGATTACGTATGTGATATGGGTGTAATTCTGAAACAGCAAAATATAGTATTCTAGAACTTTTGTTGCTTTTTTTATAACTCTTTTTCTGTGGGTTTCTTGAAAAGTGGCAGTATGCATGAAGCATTTCCTTTTTAATCATTCAAGCAGACATGTATTATTTCCAGGCTTACAAGGCTGCTTCAAAGGGCAAGTGCATATGTAGCTATCTACAGGCATGTACATGATCCACAGCCATTCTATTTCCTTGGAAAATACAGAATGGTTGCCCATGCATGAACATAAAATGACAGCCAAGGGCATTTTCCATATTAGATCCATGAACTTGGACAAGACATAGCTTCTTTTACAAGTTGGAAAACAAATTGATTCCTAGCCCACTCACTCATATTGAACACTCATTTTGAAAAATGTACAGACTATTAAATAGCAATTGTCAGCCTTTTTATATTTGGTACAGTTATTTTTATTTGTGTACGCAAATTATATGCTTTGTCAGATGTGCATATAAAATAATAGCTCTTATTTTAGATTTATAATGTAAAAGACACACCCTGATCAAACAACAATCAGATTCTGCTCAGGATAATTCACTGGTGATTCATTGCCAAACAAATGAAGAAATCAAGAGATGCTTTGGTTCACAATTTGAATACCATGGATATAAAGCAAAAGAGAAATACAATTGAAAGAGAAAGTATGTTCACCTCATCTTAGCCCTCTCTTTTGGACATGGATAAAATCCTAAATTGTCACACAATGAAGTTTGGTTATGTCTGGGTTTTTTTCTTTTAACACAAATGCATAGACTTCTTCAGGGTTTCATTGATCTGGTCCAGGGTATCATATGGATGAGAAATAGATCTGTGAAGTGAAATTTAGAACTAATGAATCTAGTACAATATATCATGAATAGGTGATCTTTTGATGGCTTCTGGCCTTAACATTTTTGTGTAATTGCAGAATGCTAGAAATCAATTAAGTTGGGGACTTGAAGTTTCTGCTAAAATATTATAAAACCAGCTGTCAGAATTACATTATATACTTTATAATTTAGGAAGCCCTACGTATTTTAGCACAAAACTAGCAGTTAAACATCTCCAGAAGAGGTTTGCAAAATGTTCTGTCACAGGATGTTCTGTGAAACGTAGAATTACACTAAATGGCTTGTTTTGGGACTGGAACATTGCATGATGTCCTTGCTTGATAGGCAATAGTATAAAATCCTTACATAAGAAACACTGCATCGATTGTGAAGGCGGTTCTCTTTCCTTCAGATATATTTCTTGCAGAATAACTGTGTGCAACTTCTGTAGCATACTTTTCCCTTTGGTTTGGCCCTTCATGGCCAGAATAAAATTTTTATGAAGTAATATATTAAAAATGTTTGCTGCCTAGAAAGTTTGTCTTTATTGCTGAAAAATTACATTATGGAAGGTGACTGCAGCAGATTAGCTGGTGTTAGATACTGATTTCTTTGATAAGAATTTTAAGAGTATTTGCTATACTAATTATTTGGATGTTACGTTGTGATGCTGTTGAGTTGTTCAGTTTTTTTTAATTGTATTCCAACTTTGCTGTTAAAGAGCGTAGCTGTGCTCTCAAGACTATCATGTACATTAAGTTTTTCAGTCAGCATGCCTGCAAACATCTCCTGCAGAAAGTGTATCTCCTTCAAATGGCTATATAAAATCACTGTTGAATACTGTGTTCATATATACTAGATAAATGAAATATACGATCCAGGATGTAGCTCTACATCAAAATGTAGAGCTACATCCTTAGAATTCAAAGCAGCAGTACTGGTCTTGTTAGAGGTTCCAAGAAGCAAACTCAATAGGGGAAGCCAAATTCATTTAATGGCCATGATGAGCTTAGCAATAAAAGTTTCGGTTCCAATAGTGGTTGTAAGTCAAGACCTGCGTGTATATAATTTGGCCTATAGCAGTGTATGCCACTGCTGTGTCAGTGATCTGTGAAATTGAGTCAATTGGATTTTTGACATTGACTGAATGTTGAGAATAATATTTTTGGCATGTCTATTGGGTGAATTTGGAGAATAGAATGATTGTGGAAGTGTAACATTGGCATTCTCACTGCTTTTTGGTGCAGTATTATGGTAGAAAAATACCAGGTTGCATTGCAGAATTCTTGGAATGAAGAACATTAAGAGTTGAAAATATCTTGTAAATTAAAAACTATTGTTTCAATTTTCTCTGAACTTGAAAGTGTTCCAAGGTAATAAAGGGTATGTTTTGTGCTCAGATTCCTTAGAAATACGTAGAAAAGTTATGGTACAGTCAGAACAGCCTGTTTGGAATTCAAAGCAAGATACTGGATGATTTTGAATTCAAAATGTTTTGCCCTTGTCTTTTTTCTGTTAACTGTTGTCAAAAGCCTATAGATTTTGATAAATTGGAAACCACCTAAGCAGATAATGAAGTAAGCTCATGCTTATATCGTACTGTCACTTTCCTTAGCTATGCTCCTTGGTGTCCTGTCTGTCAGCAAATGGAATTGGCATGGGAAGCTTTTGCAAGAAATAGTAAAGAACTCGAACTCAGTGTGGGCAAAGTTGATGTCACTCAAGAACCGGGTAAGTAATGAATAATCACTAAGAACAAAAATCAATGTAAGTAATTCAATTGCTTTTTTACGTAAGTAATTTAATTGCTTTTTAAAAAAAATGGAAACAGGATATTAAGTCTTAATGTTATTAGCCCAAATTCAGATTAATTTTCCCCAAACTCTGGTAAGATGTCTGATATGATCCCAGATCAGTGTGATCAGCACCCATGCTCAATGGGGATAATCAGCATTGTAGACATATAGTCCAGTGATTCTGGACATGGTGACATAGTTGGCTAAAGCTGCTTTGGAAATTAGCACTATTGTGTAAGATAGTCCTCAACTCACCGTAATGAACCCAATCGTTATGGTTGCAAGTCGTGATGTCATTAAGTGATGCGTCCACAACATTGCCTCACTTAACAACCCTTAAACCCTTACCGCTCCTCTCCCATTAAATGGAGCATGGGATGCTTCAGGTGAGCGAGATCTAGTACAGGCCCAAGCCTTCCTGGATCAGGCATCCCAAGGTCTCCTCCTCTCCCTGAGGCACCTTAACAGAGAGCAGAGGTTTGGGTCATTAAATGAGGGTTAACCTTGGATTCCCGTAGCCTTTGGTCAGCTTCTCATCCCACCTTTTGTCAATATGCAGAGCTTGAGCTCACGTTGGGAAAGGGATGGCCAGGCTGCTCTGCCCCTCAGCATTCCTAGACTGTGTGGCTCCATCTCAGATGCAAATGCCATTATCGGAACGGCCTTAATGATTGTTTAAAAAATATCAACATGTACTTAAACTTCTTTTGTAATAAATAGAAGAAGCTCACTTGTGAAGTCCATAAAAACCTGCTGTTCCAGAAGTTTGTAATGTAAAAAAAGAATTTAAAAATCAATTCCAAGGTGATTAAGAAACAAGGAATGGTTGAATTTTGAACTTGAACTTGAAGCAGTGTTGAAATGTAAAATTTGTTACTACTGGTTCTGTGGGCGTGGCTTGGTGGGGGGGGGGTAATGTGACTGGGGGGGCATGGCCAACTTTTTTTTTCTTTTAAAAGCATTTTTTCTACAACCATAAGAATTTCGAGGAAAAATTCTTTTAAAAGCCTCTGACGTTCCCAGCTGAGCCGCGCAATCATCAGAGGCTTTTTTTTTTTTTACTTTTAAAAGCATTTTTTGGCTGCAGAGGTTGTATAAAAAATGCTTTTAAAAATAAAAAAAAAAGCCTCTAATGATCGTGCGGCTCAGCTGGGTATGGGAGGACAGGGATTTTTGCTACCGGTTCTCCGAACCACCCACTGCCATCGCTACCGCATTGGGTGATCCGGTCCGAGCCGGGAGGCATTTCATCCCTGCCTTGAAGGCTATATTACAACTATGAGTGTAGTTGTAATCCATCAACTTCTAGTCACTCAGCTCATAAGCAGACCTCAAAAATATTGGTTCCTGCCATCTACTCAGAGGAACATTGTGTAGAGTCCATGTGGACTATCTCGAGAGCTCTCTTTTCTCTAGAGTGATTTTTTTTCCAGCTTGGATCCCACATCCGGCCAAGATTTCGGCTGTAATGTCCTGTTTCTTCAGGAACATCTTCAGTTTGCTATGGCCTTGGAACCTTTTTAAAAATGGTATTAACCCTGTTGTAGGGTTTATGCTAATTTATACATTACCTGTCTCACAACAATTTTTGAGAGGAAGGAATTGCTGGTAAAAAAAAGTTTTTTATTTGACGTGACTTAAGTCAGAAAATATATTCTTCTTCCAAGATGCTTCTGGACTGTCTGTAAACTAACAGCTTGTGTACGTGGCAAAAAAATTCTCATGGATATTTTAAAATTGCCCCTGAATATTTCTGAAATGTGCTAAGACAAATTCTTTTCTGTTAGTACTTGGAATTCCTCTCTCTTTCCCTTGTTTTCTTTCAGTGTCTGACCACTTTAATTATAATTCACATTTTTACCAGTGGTGGTTAAGGGGATCCAAAGGAGACCAAAAGGGTTCTTGTTATTTATGTGAAGCCATGGGAGTGTAAGTTGCCAACTCCCACAAAATGTGTAGAATATAAAAATGAGCTCTTAATTGTAAAGTGTTTGTCAGATGATGATTATATGTAAGAAGCAAGATAAGTGCTATTTAAAACAAATATCTATTCTCCTCAGGTGTAAGTGGCCGTTTCTTAGTCACTACTCTTCCCACTATTTACCAGTAAGTATGTATTTTAAGTACTCTGAAAATAGTTGCTATTTACAATTTTAATTGAAAATGTTTCCTTTTATGTGTGTGTGTGTGGCAGAATAAAATATGTGATGAAGCTAAGGAAAAATCATCCATATATGTCAATTACTTCAGAAAGCAATGCAAACTTTTTTTAAAAAAATCTTATTGCAGAGAGCCCCATTATTTTATTTGTCATAAACAAACCACAATGGAATTCACAATATCTCTCCCTGTAATCAGGTCCAGTGGGTTTTATTAATTAGATTACTTTGATTAATTATAAAAAATGCCATCACTCTGCTAAACAAATAATTCCCCCAGCACTGTCAAACTATTTACTAAGTCTGCACTACTATTAATCTTCTCATCGTTCCTATCACCCATCTCCTCCCACTTATGACTGTATGACTGTAACCTTGTTGCTTGTATCCTTACAATTGACTGTTTCCTAATATGATTTGATTGCTTATTTGTACCCTATGACTATCATTAAGTGTTGATGAACTTTATGATTCTTGACGAATGTATCTTTTCTTTTATGTATATACTGAGACCATATGCACCAAGACAAATTCCTTGTGTGTCCAATCACACTTGGCCAATAAAGAATTCTATTATATTCTAAGATAGTAAATTAAGGTTGTTCCTGGGTTTATATACTCCAATATCCTTTGGAAAACACAACCTAGATTTTTGGCCCAGAGGAAACATACTATATGATAGCTACCCAAAACAAGTAATTAGGTGATTGAGTTGTAATAAGAATAAAAGGAACTTCTTTTCGTTTTTCCCTGAATACATCTCCTTATTCCTTTCTTCTCTGTCTTATTTTCATCTCCTTTTCCCCCTGTTTTCCAATTCCCCAAGTGGAATAATATTCTTAAGGATGTGGAGAAAAATAGTACAAAAAGGATCTGGTTCTCTGTAAAACTTGTTAATTTGCATGATTCCTGCTCTTCTACCCTGGAGGGTAATAAGGTTTTAGATTCAATAGCGTAACTATACTTTAATCTGTTTTCAGTGCAAAGGATGGAGTTTTTCGCAGATATCGTGGCTCGAAGACATTGGAGGATCTAGAGAGTTATATCCTGGAGAGGAAATGGGAAAGTATAGAACCTGTGGCAGGATGGAAGTCTCCCTCATCTCTAATGTAATTATAATGCAATATCGTGTCCCAGATTGGAATTTCATCCTAGGTTAAATGCAGCCTTGGCTGAAAATAGCAATTCCCAGTTGAATATTGTTTGCACTTTTTAACTTTCAGGGTGACTTATTCTGGTAGTCTATGTTTCATTCTGCTCTACCATCTACTGGTAGAGATTGTCCAGTGCTTTCAGGATTATAGAAAGGTATTTACTTTGCATTTAATTTTGAGCTGGAGGTCCATGTTTTTAAGGAATAAAAATCACAACAGGTGGTAATTGGTTGTGATGACATATGGAATATATGTAATTAGAGGGTACCTGTAGAGTACAGTGAAGATTGCTATTATATCTTGTGTGAAGTGTATTCATTATGATAGAGATTTTCTGTATAACTGTAGATGAAACAGTATGATAAAATCTGATAATTTGGTTTTACTAATACATTCTGTAAGTATTGTAAAGGTTGGTTAGAGAAACACCACTTTCTTTTTATTTCCATAGTTACTGCATTTTTCAGAGTATAAGACACATCTTTTTCCCCCCAAAAAGAGGGTGAAAATTTGGGTGTGTCTTATACTCCGAATGTAGCCCCGCCCAGCTTCTCAAACAGAGGTTTCAGAGGCTGAAAAAAGCATCAGAAAAGAAGCTTCAGAAAAGAAGACCCCAAACAGGGCTTCAGAAAAGAAGACTTCAAACAGAGCTTCAGAGGCTTTTTTTCAGAGGCAGGAAAAAAAACAAGGCACAGAGCTCACAACCAAGGAACGTGTTGCTAAAATTCACCTCTGGGAACAGCTGATTGAGGGTATTCCGGGAGGCCAATCCACCTGCCAGTCAGCTTTTTTCTTATTTTCCTCCCCAAAAATTAAGGTGTGTCTTGTACTCCGAAAAATACAGTAAATTATTGTGTCTCTCTTGATCAAGTAACATGAGAAATAATAGAATAGTAGTCCCAGAACAAATGGTAACACACTTTTTCAATCTTTAATTATTTTTAGTGATCATGTTTATATTGATTCTTATTAGGATGTATGGAATGGCAGGACTCTTCCATTTATCTGGATGGATCAGAGTAAGTAAGCAATATGTGTCTTAAGTACTGCAGAAAAACTTTATATCTGATCTATGGTTTTAAAAGATCTGTCGTGTTCCCCAATGATCATATAGCTTGTGCGCCTTTATATGGTATGGAAAGAATATAGATCAATATTAATGCTGATCAAACATATCCATGGAAAAAGTTTCTACTTCTAAAACTTTGGTTCAAATTGTGACAAATAATTGAAATTTTATGATGGGATGCAAGATTTCAACCTGGTTGCATATCAACGCCGTATTCTGCCATATGGTAAAAGCTCCAACAGATTTATAAACTCTTCAAAACAGTGTTTTAAATTAAGTATATAATTCATACATTTCTGTTTAGAAGGTGCTAAATAACAATAGCACTTATGTATTGCTTCACAGTGCTTTACAGCTTCTCTTAAGAGGGTTACAGAGTCAGCATATTGCCCCCAACAATCTGGGTCCCTCATTTTACTGACCTTGGGAGGATGGAAGGATGAGTCAACCTTGAGCCTCGAACTGGCGAACGCTAGCAGTATTATTAGGATTATTAGGAGCCTGAAACAGTGGCCCCCAACCTTTTGGGCACGAGGGATCAGTTCCATGGAGAAAAGTTTTTCCGTGAACTGGAGAGGGCACGGTTTTGCATGCTGCCTGCAGCCTATGGATTGGGCTTTGCTTGTTTGCATGGCTCTGTTGCTGGCATGCTGCAGATCAGTGCCAATCCACAGACTAGTGATTGGGGACCCCTGGTCTAAAACATACAGAAGAAAATACACAGTTGCTGTTTACCTGTACTTATTTATACAATGGTATCAGTTGTATTCAGAAATAAAAGTTCTAATATTAATGCTACTTATAAGCCTGGGAAACCAACAGTTGGAATGTTAATTAGAACAACAAACAAGCACAGCAAGACTCTCAGTTTCTCTGAATAGGCTCACAATATCCACTGGCTTTATCTATGCACAGCTTCGTGTTTTTCCTGTAGGTACCTAAGCTTTAAAATCAAGATAATCTCGTTCTGTATTGATGAGTGTGTCTTGTGAGAAATTAGAGTAGACATGAAAATGCATTGTTCAATAAATTGAATTGCTTCTGTCAACAGTTGTTGGTAACTTAAAACCTGCGAGGTGTACCTCATCTGAAAATTAATGTTAAAAAAATTGAAAAATATAGTAATTTTAGTAAAAAAAACATACCTCAGATGCTGAGCATAGGTACATATCGCAGCTGGCACTACCTAATACCCACAGAAGATACAGCCAATGATAGTTTTATAAAGGATTTGATTTTGTAAATGATTTATGTGAAATTGATTCAAACCTCTTAAAGTCAAAACAAAACAAAACCGTATTCTTCTGTAATTACATTTTCAGAATGGATATATTGTACAAATATTCCAAACAATAACTGGTAGATAATGGAACAGCAGTTTCAAATCAGATTATGTTTCTGTTGCAGCAAATCCACAACTATTTTACTGGCACTCTTGGGATTCATATTTGGGTTTCTTATGCCATCTTCATATTAGCCACCCTTCTGATTGGTCTTATCTTGGCTTTGGTAAGAAAACAGTTTTATACTCTTAAAACAGGTGTATAAAAATGGGAATAATAATGTATTGATAACAAACACAGCAAATGGTATCATCTGAAGAGTTCACTATATATTAAGAAGACATTGGTATTCCTACTGTATTGGGGAATTGTGAAAAAATTAATGGTAGATCAAATCTTTCTATGCTATCAGAGAAAATAGTAATCATTCTCTCAAGAGAATGGTAGACAATTATCTCTCAAACTCTTGGTCTTCTCTTGAGCTTTACTTTTTATCAACTAAGTGATCCTGGTCTATGAATTATAAAACTCAAGAGAAATTAGTATTTCATATGTTAATAAATTTTGAAAAGAAACATTACTGTCAAAGATGTAATGTTTAATTTTAATTTTATGATGAATTTTGGCTCATTAAACTTGGAATAGAGCAAAAAGGATAATCTTATCTTTATTTTCCTGATATCAAGGAATAGATTTATTATAAATTATTTAATCTATTTTTGAAATGTCCTTATGTTCCAAAAGTGAAAAGATGGCACAGCATGTTTCTGTGGTCTTAAGTATAAGCAGACATTGAGGCTTAGATTAACCTATATTGATATCAAATATGTTTTTGGATTAGTTTTATTTTTTGTTTTATTTTAATTGGTACAGTATATGTAGCTTCTTTTGTATTATATAATCACTGGGGTATTTTGTTGCTGTAGTTATACACCACCAATTAAAACACAAAGAAATATCACTAGAGAAATTATAGTCTAGAACTTCTATATTGTTAGAGCAATAGATCAGGATCTCATTAAGGATTCTGAAAAGTCCTGGTTTATCTGGTTTAGAAATAGCTGCATGAAGATTTGTGTAAAAAAAAAAAAGCATTTAGAGAGGGCTTTGATCTATGGCTTTCTTTAGCACAGCTCATGACTTTCATTGGCATAAAAATATGGGTATTTGACATTGAAGTGCAACATAATTACAAACCACTCATATAATAGTGTTGGGCTATTTAACCAGATTTGAAATTCCCTAGGTTTGTTTTATAGTACTTTTTTCTTTCTTTCAGATATTTGTTTTGCTTATAGACTGCATGTGTCCAGCTAAGTCCAAAGAAGAAAGTTTTGGTATGTACACATAATGAAGAGTAATGCTAGTGCTTCTAGTGTTTGTATATAGTTTCCCGGAAAGAACTCAACAGAATAACAATAAAGTACACTGGAAGAATCCCTTTAAAACAAACAATAGACTATACTGAGGTCCTGATAAAATTTGCATGCATCTACTGACCACACAGTGCCAGGTTCGTCAACATCTTGGCCACAGTGCCCTGGGGGTAAAGCCAAGTCTTCACTGTTTTCCTGCAAGCCAGCAGGACCAGGCTTATCAATGGGAGGCTGTTCCATAGGATAGGGACCATGACAGAGAAGACATGCTTCCAAGTTCCCATCAGGCAACACTGTTCTACTGAGAGGACCTGGAGCATGCCCACCTTGTCAGTTTAGTAGGAGGGTGGAAACCATTAGGAATAGGCGGTACCACAATTAATCTGGCTCCATGCAACATAGGACTTTAAGGTGACAACCAGTACCTTGAATTGCACCTTGAAGCCTACTAGGAGCTGAGGGCCAAGGCAGTTCATACAGCAGTAGTATTGCATGGGCATACCAAGATGCACCAACTAGTGCCCATGCTACTACGTTCTGGACCATCTGCAGCTTACCAACAAGGGCAGCCCTATACAAAGCACTTTGCACTAGTCCAATGAGTTCTGCATGGAAGTAGAACACATTTTCAAATAGTATGGAAATATGCCACTGTGAATAGTAACCTATTTTCAGCATTCCCTTAATTTCCACTCTGATAAATAACCTTATCACTGGATTCAAACATCATGCTGAATCATAATGAGATTGTTTTGGCCTGACTTGTATATATCCAGACATTATATATATCCAGATGTCTGGTACACTTGCAAGATTGTTTTCTCTTGCCATGTACATGTATGCATCCGAATTAGACTCTGTTGTTTCTCCATGTCATATAATATATGTGGGAACATGCATAAGTATGTATGTATGTATGTATGCATGTATGAATGAATGAACGAATGTCTTTATCTTGTCATGTTTATGTTTATATTAGAGGTGGACACCCTTTGAGAGCTGTAAACAATGTAATTTCATTTTAATGTATTCCGATTAGTGTACATTTAAAGTGACAATAAAATTATTCTATTCCTATTCCTATTCCATTCCATTCTATTCTATACAATCTGTAAGTAGTTCAACACAGAGGTAAAGAAGCTTGGGGAAATGAATGACAAGAGTTAGATCTGAAAGCTGGCACTTTGTAGCTTAGCAAAATATTCCATTTGTACAAAAATACTAGCTCTTGTTTCCTCAATACTTTTACCTCAGATTCCGTAGATCCTGATGAGAATAAGATAGAAGATGAACAACAAACTTTGGAGCTTTCAGCAGGGGACGAAATTCCAGAAAAGGGTTTGTCTGTTGGAGAAAACGAAGAAGAGGGAGAAGATGAGTCTCAGCCCAATTCCTCAGATGACTCAGCAGTTGAAGGATGTGAGGGAGAAAATGATTTAGAGCTTTTCGAATCTGACAAGTTAGAGGAGACCTCCTTAAGACAACGTAAAAATCAGATGGAGTCTGAACTATAGTGAAAGTAATTGAGCGTATACTTTTAAGTGGACCAAAGAAGATTGGGACCTTCGTTTTGCAGCTGAAGCCAAATATTTGACTTATAAGCTGTTGCAGCTAAATATAGGCTGACTGCCAGAAAGCATCTGTTTTTATTTTTAAGGTTAATATTTTGAATGTAAAATATGGCTAATGTTGAAATCAGAGACATGACAATCAAGCAACCACATTGAGTTCAGGGATAGGTAAGAGCTTTTATTGCATCAGCCATACCATAAACTGTACGAAGTGGTCATTCTGTACAACTGCAAATTGTCTGTGTTGCAGAATTATGTATAAAACAAGAAAAGTTTTTTTGGGGGCTTGCTGGTACAAGTTAATTCCAAAATGTACAGTTGAAGACAAAAATCTAGAGGATCGAAGGCATCTTAAGACAGTAATAAGGTTTTACTGTTTGATATGCTTGAATAGATAACTGTTTATAACTCTCCAAGGTCTTTGGCTCCAGTTACCTAAGGCACTTCCTACAGGCTTCAGAGCTGTGATGTGTATTTCAGGGGAGATCATAGTATAACAAGAACTATGTTTACAATATAGTTTACAAGCTGCAAAGGTTTTACTTTCAGCTTTCTTGAAAGCCAGGAAGAGATTTTTAAATATGGACGTGGCTTTCTTACAACAATCAGTTTCATATCCATTGTCCCAATATTATAATCTGTCAAGTCAATATCTCAGTATCTGATTTGTTGGCCATATTTAGATTCCTTTGGATTCATTCAAGACTGCTTTGATATAACATTGATTCTTTTATGTATTCCAATTCAACCCACAATGCAGGAGAAGCCTGAAAAAATATCATTGCAAATTTCTTAATGCAAACAGAATGTCTGGATGCATAAATTGATTTTTAGTTTGTCCTCAATAATCAGAGTATTTATTCTGTCCCATAGTTGTCAAAGTTCTGTATAGTGTAGATCTATGAAGAAATCATGTAAGTATCAGTATTCCCTTGTAAGGTTATGCAAGTGTTGAATGTGTTATGATGAATTAAGTTTATCAAAGAAGCAACTCAGAACAGTATTATTTCCCTTTGTATTTAGAGACAATTATTTTCAGTGGTATCCAGCGAATTAAAATAAATGTCAGGATCATTGTTAAACATGTTATTCAACTTTCAGGTTCAGAGATTTTTTAAGCCTAAGAAATGATAGGCTCAGACTAAAGTAGTAAAAATAAAGCACTATATTTGTTTTATGTGCATGCTGTCATAAAATTTGTCAGTTGCATTCTCTGTTGATTAGAACTATTTTCAAATTTTTGTTAACCTTTTGTTGCACTAAAATGAGTCTTCATATCTATACAATTTGCTTAGTAAAAGACCTTTCTAAAGAAGTTTTAGTAAAACTATCCATTGCACTTTGTTAATATTACAGAATATAGAGCAAATAGATTCAAGTGCTGGGGGTGAGGGAAGCATTTAATGGCAAATAAATGTTTAAATGTACACACTTAACCTGCTGTAACAATACTTATGTTAAGATTCTCAAACATGTATTTTTTAAAAAATAACACAGTTAAAGAAACTAATAGTTCAGCATCTGCATTTACTAGCATTTTTTTTTATTGCTGTTAAAAGCACGAAAAAGATAACTTATTTGATTTGATTCTTAAACCTCTGAACCTTAGTAATATGACCAAGCATGTTTTTTTGATAACGTAAAAGATTCAGGTTGAGTATTGGTTTGAGAAGCTGGTCCATGATGGTTGTATCATGTCCATGTGTCCATGGAGCTAAATCCACAGTTTACTTTTATGTAAAAAGAATTCAGAGTTAAATGCTCTGGGCTCAGTATGACAGTACTTGGTATATTTTTCACAGTCTTCCTTATTTGTCTTCCAATTTTTTACAAGGTAAAGTATTAGAACTTAGTTCATAAGATTTCAGTTCAGTTCATTCTTGGTTAGAGAGTTGATGGCTTGATGTCTACGTGGATATATAAACCACTGCTTTAAGCTGGTTTATAATAAAGATGACTGCAAAACATTCCAAAGGAATTATTAAATTTGGGGTTTTTTTTTTTAACACAGAAAAAAAATTGAAATTATTTTGAAACAGTGATCACTATGACCTCTATTTATAAGTTTGAATGTATAGGTGCTTTTAAAAGCAGCAAATGGAGTAAACTAATTCATTTGAAGATTCTTAAGAGTTAATATTTGGCAAGTAAACTTCTTTGGCCAGACATCGCTATTTTGCATCTAATTTTAAAAAGCAATATTACCATTTGTGTTTCTAATTGTTACTTTAAATGAACACTTGCTCAGTTTTTAGTTTAGTTTGACATGATTTCTATGTAAAACATTTATATTAAAATGCTGTTTCTTTATTAACTATAAACTTTATTATATATCTCTGTGTTCACTTAATGTTTGTTTATTTAAGGTGTTTAGAGTTTTTAATCACATTCACTCCTCATCTTCCTCTCCTGGTACTCTGTCTCAACTGTTGCTTCAGTTTCTAGAAATCCTTTGAAAGCCAGGGGGCTTTCCGGGCATTGAACTGAGACCTTAATCATCATGTACCAGAGCCTCAGGATTAACCCCGAATTTCCTTTGGAACCAAATAGGGTCCATTCAGCCGTCATGGCTGACTGATTTAATTTAACCTGGTTTCGGTTATACATGCCAAGTCAGCCCTCTTATACACATGAAGCCATGAACAAGAGAGGCTTAATTATTGGTCAACGTGGCATTTAATAGTGGCATTTGGAAGCCAAGGTCTGGCAACCAGGCATAAGGAAATAGCCTTGGGATCAACTGGAGACATTGAAATATCTTCTCCAGGACCAGCTAGCCCTGCCCTATCTCCTGTCCAAGATTCTGTTGTCTGCTCCTTCTCTTCCCAAAAGGCCAAATCTCCTTGACTTGTGCCATCCATCCCATTGATAAAGGCCTCCAGCCAGTCCTAAACTAGCAATCTTTCTCCCTCTCTTGTTAACTAGTTCCTGTGAATTGCTTCTGATCTAGCATGCAGTGATCTGCCAGTCAGCTGCATTCCCATCACACATCCACACCACACTCCTAAATCCCCTCCCCCACTCTCATAGGGGGGTTTATGAGGGGCAAAATAGGCACTCATCACTGGCTGGACCAACCCAGAAAATTATAGCCCCTCCCCCCACATAACATTCAGAGGAAATCTAGGTGATCGCATCAGCTGGCTCCAAGTACTGATTGAAAGTCCTTTCACTTCTCATTCCAAGTCCTTCAGTGCTGTGCAGAAGAATCCTTGGGCACACACTGCTGAAAGGTAGCACAAGTGGATACATTTCTCTCATCTGCAATCTCTGCCATTTGTAAAAGACAAAATGGCTTCTGCCCAGAATGACAGGCTGTATGGCAGATAGAGGACAAAAGCCAAATACAGTCCTGTTACTGGACCAATTTTGCTCCTTGGTACTCACCCATAGCAACCAGAAGTTCCAAATCTCTGAATTCAGGCTTCTCTGGGTTGCCACCATTGCTGTCCACCAGCTGACAGTATCTCCAACTCTAATCTGCAGCACCTCTAGATCATCTGATTGAATACATTAGCTGTAAGGGGAAGTGGATGGATACAGAAAGGTAAAAGCTTATGTAATGCTGTGTGTTATGTTTTTACATTGGAGTACACTGTATAGGGTGGCTCAGTGGCCAAGATGCTGAGCTTGTCGATCGAAAAGTCATCAGTTCAGCGGTTCGAATCCCTAGTGCTGCATAATGGGATGAGCTCCCATAACTTGTCCCAGGTTCTGCCAACCTAACAGTTTGAAAACACATAAAAAATGCAAGTAGAAAAATAGGGACCACCTTTGGTGGGAAGGTAACGGCGTTCTGTGTGCCTTTGGCATTTAGTCATGCCGGCCACATGACCATGGAGACGTCTTTGGACAGCGCTGGCTCTTCAGCTTTGAAATGGAGATGAGCACCAGCCCCTAGAGTCGGGAACGACTAGCACATATGTGCGAGGGGAACCTTTACACTGTAGAAGAAATTTGAGTGGTAGTTCAGCTATAGAACCATTGGGTCTATATTAATTTACATATTACAGAATCTGGAATATAATTTCCTTTGTTATTGGTTTTTTCCTTTTTAAAAATGAAGTTCTAGATAAAATCATAGATAAATTACATGAGTAAAGAGATGGCATGAGATTGGAGTAGGCTATTGTAATTTATCTTTCTAATTGTAGAAAGTGGACTATGCCACTATTGAATATTCACTATATACTGTACATATATTACTTTGTTCTGTATTTCCTTCTCTGATACACAGTGGAGACATCTTAATTTAGTGAATGTCAAAGTCCAAAAGAATAGTCCGGAAATGTCAATTTATTATTTGGGTTACTTAAAAAAAGGTTTTCTGAACTTTGCTTTAGTTTAATGATTAACAAGTTGAAAACGACCAGAACTAAATCATTTAAAGGCAAAACAAAGTAATCTACACCATGTCTGAAAGACCAATTTGCATTGCTGATTTTGAGGAATATGCTAAGAAATTTCTTCAAAAATCTGTGTACGATTATTATAAGTCTGGGGCTGATGATCAACAAACATTAGCTGAAAATGTAGCTGCATTTTCAAGGTAATTAACAATTCAAATATTGTATTTAATAGCTTTTAATATAATTAAAGTAGAATTGAAAAACCGTACATCATTTGAAGTGCATTCATGATTGGAATAGGTTGTACTAAAAGTAAATTGGTCATGTACAATTTGAATGAGCATTCATTTGCTTCTTTCAACTCTAGGTATCGGTATAACATGAAACAGAATTCAATTTTTATATGAAATATTATAGTTTTGCAAGGCATTACCCTGAAATTGGATGAGCCTTTGAACTTGGAGCAAAAAATTGTGTTGTGCTCACAAAGCAGCCCTGTGACTAATATATTGCCGTTCTATCTACCAAAATAACTTAATGCCTGTTCACATGCTTGCCTAGTATATCACATTTGGCAATATAAAAGTCAGCTAATCATAAATATCCGATTTGTGATGCTTAAATCAAATGTTCAATTATTATTTTAGGAAAAATATCTAAGATTTGTGCTTGTAGAGGATTGAAAAGTGGCATTTTTTTCAATGGGTGGGGGAACTGAGAAATTATAGAATATTTTTTTGACTTGTGCTGTTGATAAAATAGGTGACGGTAATGGAAATTATTGGTAAAACAAGGATGAGAATTTGAAGGTGAATAAAGTTGTGCAATATGTGAATGATCCTGAGTTAGTGGGAAATGTTTTACTTATTGCAATGCCTAATTTATCCAAATGGGGTCTCCAAAGAGGTCTATTCTGACTGTTGGTAACAATTCCTGTCAACAATTGTTAGTGCTCCATCAGAAAATTCAGTTCAATATTCAGAAAATTACTGGTAGTTAAGTAGTTCTGTGCAAATCCTTAGATAAAGACGCAGCATTCCAGCTTATTATTTATTTTCATTCTCATTTCAGTGATTAAGTTAAAACTGGGAGAGTTACAGTTCTCATATAATCTTAACTGATAATACCCTCTTCAAACATTACCCAAATATCTATCAGAGCTGCACTAGGATGCATTTCTTGACTATTTAATTGAAAGCTCTAAAAAGGAATAAGTGGGCCAAAATAATAGCACCTACCCTATATCCACCTTGTGTTTCATAAACTAGTATGAATATTATGTGAGCTACCACAAATAAAATAGGTTATTGGCATAATGCATGTTGCTTTATATCCCTTTCACACATAAAGATCAATATTTATGCTTAATTAATAGAAATAATGATGCTGAGCATAGATTATGTATGTAATTAAACTGTTTAATAACAACTTTGTCTTGAATGAAATAAGCTGAATACAGAATATGAGAGCTTTTCTTTATTCTGTGTTGAAGTTGTTGTGCATATCAATCATTAGTTTTGCTTTTTGAAAAGTCTTAAAAAGGTCAAAGACAAAAACTTGCAGTTTGTCTGTTACTAGGCAAAAACAATTGTTTCAACAATTTTTTCAATTGAATCTTTTTTGTCAGATGTAAATGCCTTATTCTCCAATGTGTAAATAATGTATATATGGAACATCAGAGGTTAACTTATTCTTTGGACTTTAATGTATTCATAACTTACCACTCCCATTCCTAGCTCCACCCCTTGTATATATAAGGAGCCACCCTCACCATTCTCGTCGCTTCTACCTTGAATATTCAGTGAATATAGAATGCCTATCATAATTAAAAAGAAATATATTTAAAGCTTTAACTCCTATTATCTTTATTGAGTCTGATCCTGAAAATATTGCAACAAGCTGGTAGCAGAGGATGGTTAATTGACTCAATAAGTAATTAAAAATGTCCAAGAAAGATAGGCCCAACACCAGGGCCTACAGCAAAGAAATAGAAACTGATCAAGAGATGATCAACGAATCCACCAATGCGATTTCGAGAGAATCCGAAGAATACACCACTGAAGAAGAAGAACTAATGAGTGAAAATAATGACCAGAAAGAAATCGAAATAGAAAATAACGAACTCAGGTCAGAGATATTAAAGATACTAAAAAGCCAAAAGAATGATGAAAGTCTCATCGCGGACCTCCAGGAGATGCTGAAGAACAGCGGAGCAGCGAGGGAGAAAAACGTCATTAAAGAAAAACCCAAAGATCAAAAAATCGTAAGTGAGATGACTACTGAGAAAATAGTTGTTAAAAAGAAAAGATGTGATCCCGCGCGAAATTTTGAATGGCAGCCATCTTGGTTTCAACGAACTTCAAAGGAGAATGGAGCAGAGCCAATCAAAACGCTCAGTTCAAAATTTCTGGCGCGAAAAACACTATCAGACGAAGAAAGTGAGAAAGAAGTCTCAAACTCTTCAGATGATCCAAAATCAGAAAGTGAAGACGATTTAACAAAATCTCAAGTAAAATCAGCAATGAAAACGCTTTTTGCTGCTTTTGGGCCAAGACTGAAAATTACCAAGACATCTACGAAGAAGCAAGAAATCAAACCGGCGACTCAAGACCTGCATGCTCCCATCCTGACTTCGAAAGCGACGACGCCCGAGCCCAGAGAGCCATGCCGATTTCGCCCTACACCACAGACAAAATCGAATACCAACGCACACAAAAAGAAGAAAAGAACCGTCACCACCACCAGAACCCCAAAAACCGAGCCAGAGACCGACTCATCTGAGGAGGAGCGGATCGAGAGAGCTGAAAGGGAGAGAACCTTCCACGACGCCACCAAAGAAGAAATGAGCAACGCGCATGTGCGAAACTACGTAGACGACCCAGAAGGACTTGAACTGGCCAGAGAACCGCGCAGACTCATTGCAAGCATCCCAATGCCGTTCTGTAATTTCCTGCACTTGAGAGATCACGGACTGCCCCAGGTTGTAAGTAATGGAC